GATGCCAAATGTCACATGATCCCAGCTGACCCAATGGTTCTCGAAATTTGCTTTGATATTCAAGTGCTTTGGATGACATGCATGTTTCCAGAATGAATTACGTTTGCCAACCAAGGTTTTACTGTACTAGGAGAATCTAGATTAACCTTGAAGCAAGTGTTTCTTTGCTGGTTCGTGCAGTGATGTTTAGGATTTTTGCCTTGGGACTTCTGACTACCTTTTAGGCTGAGGGAAACAAGGAATTAGGATTGTAGACACACCTTCTCACCAGCTTCCCATATTCGTGAAGGATAGCACTTGTGACTATATTGTGGTTGTGATGGAGCACTTGGCCTAGGGTCTGACTTAAATAGACAGTTCTAGGCGGTGGTGGTGGTTGATAAGAAATTGTTATAAACACTAGCTTTTGAGATGTGCTCATTAACCTGATTTTATTGGGGTCATATGCATTTGTTGTAGGTTGTACCTGGGTTAAGGGAAATGATTGTTTACCTGTAAAATTAGGCAGTGTAACTTTATATATAGTCTTTTTTTGGTAGTAGAGAGATAACTTCATATTTTAAAAAACACTTAGTAGGTTTTAACTATAAATAAAAAATACCATGATTTGAATAACTGGATATGTTAAATATATCTGGTCCCATGAGGCCCACTTTTCATTTTTGTTCTTTGGACTTCCAGGAGTAATTCTATCTACTAATAAAAACTACAGGTGTAGGGGCGACTGGGTTTCTCAGTTGGTTAAGCGTCTGGCTTCAGTTCAGGTCATGATCTCGTGGTTCATGAGTTTGAGGCCCGCATTGGACTCTGTGCTGACAGCTCAGCCTGGAGCCTGCTTCGGATTCTGTGTTTCCCTCTCTCTCTGCTCCTTCCCTACTCATGCTCTGTCTCTCTCTGTTTCTCAAAAATAAATAAACGTTAAAAAAAATTGGAAAAAAAAAAAAAAAGCTGCAGGTGTAGACCCTCATCCCCAGTAGCCTTAGGATGTAAGAACCAGACGGAACTTAGGGAAAGGAAATTACGGGCTTATTCCTGTCTAAAAACATATAGCTTATAATTGTATAGAGCCTTTGGTTCTCCTGAGGTATTTTCATTTTTGAATCTCGCTTAAGTCACGTGTAAGTTTTACCTCTGTATGATTTGTTCTTTTTGCTGACATAGCTCCCTGTCCACAGATCTTGTTTTAAATGCTTTTCCATTAACATGCAAAAATGTCAGAAAAGTAAAGTAGTTCTCAGATAAGAGTTGTCAAAATATTGTTCCTCCAAAGATCCTTTTGTGTTTAAAAAAATTTTTTTTTAAGTATTTACTTATTTTTGAGAGGTGGGGGGAGGGACAGAGAGAGAGGGAGACACAGAAACCAAGGCAGGCTCCAGGCTCTGAGCTGTCAGCACAGAAGCTGATGCAGGGCTCAAACCCACGAACGGTGAGCCGAAGTCAGACGCTTAACCAACTGAGCTGCCCAGGCACCCCTAAAGATCTTTATTTGGTTGTGTGTCACGATTTGTCCAACAGGAAATATTGTGCAAAGCAGTTTCAGGTGGATTGACTAGTGCAACAGGAATGGCCGGTTTTCCTTAGGCTTGTACAAATCAAATGCACAGCTTATGAGAAATGTAACTTTTTATAGTTTCCCTCTTTTTCCTGTTAGAGCCAGTTGGTAAAATAAGTTCAGTAGTGAAGCTCCCGAGACCAAGCCCAAGAAATCTCTAACAACACTACTTTTCTCATCTCTTGTAATTAGGTCAGCCAGCTCCAGAAGGAGGCTTGGCTGTGGCTTGTAGGGGTTCTTTTTGTAATGTATACGTTCTTATTTTTATTTTTTTTTAATGTTTAAAAATTTTTTTTTTATTTTTGAAAGAGAGACAGAGACAGAGAGAGACAGGGCGTGAGTGGAGGAGGGCCAGAGAGACAGAGGGAGGGAGACACAGAGTCCAAAGCAGGCTCCAGACTCTGAGCTGTCAGCAGAGGGCCTGACATGGGGCTTGATCTCACAGGCAGCCAGATCATGACCTGAGCCGAAGTCTGACACTTAACTGACTAAGCCACCCAAGTGCCCCAACATTCTTATTTTATTTTATTTATTTTTTATTATTATTTTTTAAAATGTTTTATTTATTTCTAGGAGAGAGTGAGAGAGAGAGAGAGACAGCATGAGCAGGGGAGGGTCAGAGAGAGAGGGAGTCACAGACTCTGAAACAGGCTCCAGGCTCTGAGCCGGCAGTCAGCACAGAGCCCGACGCGGGGCTCGAACCCACGAACTGCAAGATCATGACCTAAGCGAAAGTCGGACGCTTAGCCGACTAAGCCACCCAGACGCCCCCCAGCATTCTTATTTTTAAATTAATCTTTGTATAAAATGAAAAAAAATGAGTTATTTGGTAAATACTGTCCTTCACTGTCTCATTCTTTTGAAATCACTTGTTTTTATGCTTTTCTTTTTATGAACTGTATATATTATTGGAGAGAAAAAGGTAGATATTAGGTTCTATCCAATTCCATTGCGTGTGAGGGAAGGGCTTCCCCCCATCAATAAGCAGTTCCGGGACACCAACAGGGTATCTGAGGAGTCACCTCAGCAAGTCTTTTTTAAATGTTTTAAAATGTTTGTTTGTTTGTTTGTTTAGAGAGGGAGTGCGTGAGCAGGGGAGGGGCAGAGAGTGGGAGAGAGAGAATCCCAAGCAGGCTCAGCACTGTCAGTGCAGAGCCTGACACAGGGCTCAGACTCACGAACTGTGAGATCATGACTTGACCTGACTTGAAATCAAGAGTCGGATGCTTAACCCACTGAGCCACCCAGGCGCCCCCTCACCTCAATAATTCCTACACTACCTGGAGACTGTCACGTCCCACAGGGTAAGGGCTCAGTCCTGCAAGGCCGCCCTCCACCCCCCTCTGCCCTGACCTTAGCCGAAACCAGGTCGCTCCTGTGCTCCTGGCTGACTGGCCACGGATGGGAGGTTCCAGCTGCCCCCTCCTTAGGTGTCATTAATTTGCTAGAGCCGCTCACAGAACCCAGGCATTGTACCTACAGGCTTACCAGTCTGTTATAAAAGGATGTCACAACAGCCAGGGGGAGGAGATGCTCACCTAGGGCAAGGTGTGGAGGAAGAGGAGTGCAGCTTTGGTGCTCTCCGAGAGTGCCCTCCTCCCCGCACCCCCACGTGTGTGGCATGACGGATTCTGTTGTTGGTGTTGGCCACTGATTCAGCCTCTCCCCTCCCTGGAGGTCGGGGTGGTGGGACCGAAAGGTTTAACCTGCTAATCGTGGGCTTGTTGTCCATCTGTCTCCCCCCACCCCCAGCCCTCATCCTTTGGTGCTTTCCAAAGGCTACCTCATTAACATAATTTAGACACTTGAGAGCTGCTGCTTAGGAAATTCAGGGGTTTTAGAATTTCCTCTGGAACTTCTAATTTCAGGAACTCTCTGCCAGAAATAGGACTATACACATAGTTCTTATTTCTTATTACCAGTCACAGTATCACAGGTAGATAGATACGAGTATTGCAAACCACACGGCAGGAAGCACGTAGGTTTGCGTTCCTTCTGGCTCCCACATTCTGAACTGGTATACCCCAGTGTTGTTTTAGGGGTTGGTGCTGTTTTGTGTCCCATGTCACTCCAGTCCGTAAGCAGTGACACACATCTGCGAAGGGACCCCCAGGCTTACTGTGACTGAACAAGTCTGTGGCTATGCACTAGAGCAAAAGTAACCCACTGAAGCGGGATGAAAGCCACGACCTTGGCCCTACTGCTAACTGGCCCCATTCTCTGGCTGCGGTTTCTGACTCTGCATGGACGCACTGTCACTTGATGGTCTGTTGAGTCATCAGCACATCCTCAGTGTGCTCTCTTTCCACTTTCTGCTGTCTCTTTTGTGTATCTATACCAGGGCACAAGCAGGGATAAATAAATCCGTGTTCGTTTTTATTAGTGGCTTTAGAAAGACTTTATGGAAGAGGAGGTAGACATGACTGCCCCCCAACTCTGCTACTGTCCCTGAAGGCACCCGAGAGTAGTAAGCTGTGTTTAGTGTGAGAAATAAGCCCACCGACCCAGTCAAAGAAGGGACGTGGAGCACAGTGAAACGAGGCTTCGGTCATCGTTCTTGCAAGAGCAGGTGTCTGAGGGATAGGCAGTTACAGCAGACCATTTATCTCCTAGCACGCAAGCCCCTCCCCTGGTTCCTCATTGGCTGAGCACTACAGAGGTTAAGCCTGACCCGGAAGTCCCCTGTGCCCATCCACACAAGGCAAAAAGCAGTCTGATTAGAACAAATGTACATTCCCTGAGGTGACCCAGAGACTTTCAGTCCCTGCTCCCTTTGTTCTTTGGGGCACGCTCATTGCAAAGCCTGTGAAAATAAGCTCACAAAAAGGAGAGGGGAAGAAGAAGCAGGAAGTGAAGGGTCTAAGGGTTGGATGCCCATTGTTGGCGGGGTTAGTATTTCCAATTTTTTGGAATATTTCCAATAGGTTGTCAACCTACTATTAACCAGACAGCACAGCTTTTTTTTTTTTTTTTTTTTTTTTTTTTGGTGTTTCTGAAAATGAATCACCTTCCTTACTCACATTGAGGAAAGGGAGGAAGAGACTTTGGGACCTCCAAACTTCCCTCTCAGCAGGCTCTCTTTCTCCTTTAGCCTTCTATTTTTTTTAATGTTTTTATTTGTCCCTGAGAGAGAGACAGTGTGAGCAGGAGAGGGGGAGAGAGGGAAGGAGACACAGAATCCGAAGCAGTCTCCAGGCTCTGAGCTAGCTGCCATTACGGAGCCCGATGCGGGGCTCATACCCACGAACCACAAGATCATGACCTGAGCCGAAGCTGGACACCCAACTGACTGAGCCACCCAGGCGCCCCTCTCCTTTAGCCTTCTAATCCATTGTACAAGATGGTAGCCTTTGGCGTCTTCCTTCCAGAAGCCCTTGCTTAGGGCATGTGCGTGAGGTCGTGACTCTGCATTCCCCTTTAATCCGTGGTGTTCCCTTCTCTCCTCCAGTCTTCCGTTTGTGCTAAGATCGTGCAGCTCCTGGGACAGAATGAGGTGGACTGTCGCCAGAAGCAGGTGGTCATCCTGAGCCAGGATAGCTTCTACCGCGTCCTCACTTCAGAGCAGAAGGCCAAAGCCCTGAAGGGCCAGTTCAACTTTGATCACCCGGGTGAGTCAGGAGTTGAAGGTGTACGTGTGCTGGGTCACCGAGGGAGTTGTTTAACTCTTGGAATCTGCTCTCCATCTATAAAATGGAGAATTAATAAATACCTTGCGGGGTTATGGTGGGGCTCATATTAATGAAGGAATTTTGAAACACATCACATAGTGCATGACTTTTTAAATAGTGACTGAATCTGCATCTGAACGAGGGTGACTCGTAGGAGGCTGTTGTTTGAGGTTGGCCAGACACAAGCTAGCACGAGCTAGTTCTTCTAGCTGGTTCTTCTGCGTCCTCTGATCTGATGCCCGTGTCACACCCTGCCCCCCACCTCGCCCCCTGCACCTGCACACATGTGCACGTGGTGTGCTGTGAAACTCACTGGCAGAAAGGACTGTGGAGGGTCCAGGGTGTCTGCCAGAGTGATTTTTGCCCTGATGGTCCGAGATCAGCCCACTGCCCTTTAGCTGGTTTGGGTTCTTGTAACTATTGGACTGAAAACCTGTTGCCTCCCCGAGTCGCAAGTATGCTTTCCAGGTTAATGTATGCCAGTTCCCAAAGCAGCAGGTGAACTCAGAGGAGAGATGGGTCTGAGGTCAAGGGTGGGAGAGAAAGGTAGAAAAAAGCAGTGTCTCAGAACTCATTCACGTGTTCTCATTCATGTGTTGAGTTACAGGGAGTTTGCCTTCTGCTTTGGGTAGGGATCTGGCTCTTTTGGGTGGGGTGTATGTCTCCTCTAGGGTGTGAGATACATACATGAAATATATGTGTGAGATGATAGGAGAAATCGTTTTAAAATCGAGCAACGTTTTGACAGTTTGATCTCCTTCAGATGCCTTTGACAATGAACTCATCTTCAAAACACTCAAAGAAATCACCGAAGGGAAAACAGTGCAGATTCCCGTGTATGACTTTGTCTCCCATTCCCGGTAAGTGAGCTGTCCCGGGCTGGGCGTGGTTCCTCGTAGGTCCCAGAGCGTCCCCGTTTGTCAGGCTGCGGCCAGCGTTGTTCCCTGTTCGGTGCCCACTGCAGCCTGTCTGTTAGCATGTGCTGCACGGCTTGGGGAGTTCACCCAGCGCTCCCTGGGACAGTCTGCTCATCACGATTTGCTAAGAACTCTGAAAGGACAAGTTCATGAGCTTGGGCTCAGGTGAGGGACTACGTATTTGTCCTGAATCACATCCCCGAGCCGTTGTTCCTGGAAGCAGATGTGAGGGGGCCAGCCAGAGGAAACAGGAAGAAGAACAAAGAACAGTGTTCTTTCTTCTCTCCTGGCTCCCTGGAAGTTCACCGTGCAGAGAGGTGTGAGGGCGCTGAGGTCATCAGAGATGAGACACTAAACTCTCAGGAGAGCTTCTCAGTCATGTCCCTTCCGCTGATCTGTGCTCGTCTTCCTGATTAGGAATGCAGGAGTGGCTTGACTTCCATCTCATCTTCCTTCCCTCTCCGTGCTTGCAGGGGGCTCCTGGACAGACCCCCCAAATTCCTTCAAGCCTCCAGAGACTGTCTGCTCACTCTGGACTTCCAGACAGACACTAAACTTCTGAATGTGTTTATCAGCCATAAGTAGTTGCTCCATATTCTGGGCTACTAATTGCTCAGTAAGTGTTGTTTTCAGCCCTTTGCTGTTTTTTTTTTTTTTTTTTTAATGTTTTATTTATTTCTAGGAGAGAGAGAGAGAGACAGCGTGAGCAGGGGAGGGTCAGAGAGAGAGGGGGTCACAGACCGAAACAGGCTCCAGGCTCTGAGCTGGCAGTCAGCACAGAGCCCGACGCGGGGCTCGAACCCACGAACCACGAGATCATGACCTAAGCGAAAGTCGGACGCTTAACTGACTAAGCCACCCAGGCGCCCTGAGCCCTTTGCTGTTTTGAAAGCTTCTCCCACCTGGCTATCATTCTACCTTCCTGACTCCTTTACTTCATTCTCTTCAGTGGAATTTTAAAATTTTTATTTATTTATTTTTAACATTTATTCATTTTTGACAGAGAGAGATGGTGCGTGAGTGAGCAGGGAAGGGACAGAGAGAGAGACCACACACACAGAATCCGAAGCAGGCTCCAGGCTCCGAGCTGTCAGCACAGAGCCTGACGTGGGGCTCGAGCCCATGAACCATGAGATCATGACCTGAGCCAAAGTCAGACGCTTAACCGTCTGAGCCATCCAGGAGCCCCTTGAGTGGAGGTTTTTTTTTCTTTTAATGGGAAATTAGATTTCATGCATCTTTGACTACCACACGTTTCTATACTTGTGTTTTTAAATTAAATTTATTTTATTTTTTTACTTGAAGTCCAAGTCAATTAACATATACTATATAATGTTCCAGGAATGGAATTTAGTGATTCATCCCCTACATATAACGCCCAGTGCTCATCCCAACAAGTGTCCTCCTTAATGGCTCTGGCCCAAGTAGCTCACGTCTCTAGCCAGCACCCTCCAGCAACCCTCCGTTCTCTGTATTTAACAGTCTCTTATGGTTTGTCTCCCTCTCTGTTTTTATATTATTTTTGCTTCCCTTTCCATTATGTTCCCCATCCCCTGCTTGTGTGCTCACGTTCTCTCTCTCTCTCTCTCTCTCTCTCAAAATGCGTTTGGTGGGTCGCCTGGGTGGCTCAGTCAGTTAAGCGTCTGACTTCGGGTCAGGTCATGATCTCACGGTTCGTGGGTTCGAGCCCCGCGTCGGGCTCTGTGCTGACAGCTCAGAGCCTGGAGCCTGCTTCAGATTCTGCGTCTCCCTCTCTCTCTGTCCCTCCCCTACTCACACTCTGTCTCTCTCTGCCTCTCTCTGTCTCAGTAATAAATAAAAACATTAAAAAAATGCATCTGGAGTTCTATCACTGTTCTAAGAGAGTCCCCTAAGAGTCCCCTAAGCTTACTCCCCTGGTCCTTTACTGGTGTCGCTTATGCCCCACATTCTGCCACTTTGGCATTGTTCTAACAGTGCCTGCTGTGGAATTTAGACAGGAACCCAAGGGTCTGAGCTAATAAGGAATCGAGGAGTGTTTATGGGAGGGAAGTTCAGTACATCCTCTGGGGTTGGCAGCTGCTGACTTCCCTGTGTTTGCACAGGTAAACCTCTTGTCTTTTTTCTTTTATGTAAAGTTTACTTGGCGGGGGGGGAGGGGGGGCGGCAGAAGGAGCCGGAGGATCCCAAGCAGGCTTCACGCTGCCAGAGCAGCGCTCCATGAGGGGCTCGAACCCTCGAAACCATGAGATCATGACCTGAGCTGAAACCAAGAGCCAGATGCTTAACCGACTGAGCCACCCAGTACCCCCAAGGAACTTAAAAAATAATGCTTTATTCGGTTTTCTTCACCAATGTCCACATGAGGAGTAAACCTTGCAGTGGTAATGATGACTTCCGGTGTCTGGAGCAGGAGGCAGTAGGTGACAGTGAAGTGCAGGGTGGTTAGGATGGAGTCAGATGGTAAGAATGCTCTGGAAAACGGAGGTGAGGCGGAGCTCCACCCACAGGCTCCCTTTATATCCCATTTAGCAACAGAACCTGCCCCGCCCCCGTTTTTTAAAAGTCCCGTTTTGGATAATATCTGCCTTGGGCTTCCCAGCCCAGTGGGTAGATGGCGATGCAGGACCCCTGCCCCAGTGACAGGGGGAGGGAGTGGTGCCCGCAGCCTCGACCCAAGGCCACCCTGACCCGGTGCCGCTACTTGCTCGTGGTAGAGCCAGATCCCAGGGAGCTCAGGAGTCTTTCCTTCCCTGGAGATGCTTCCTCTCCTCTCTCCTCTTTTCCGCAACTTCCTTTTTTGCCCCCCCCCCCCACCAGTTGTCCAAGGAGAGTGGGGGAGGGGGGGGTTGTTGGGAGAAAACTGAGTTTCTGTCTGTGGAGGCTCTGTGTGAGGTGCATTCCCCCAGACTCCTCCGGAGGAAGGAACAAATCACATCTGCTCCTGTCTGTCTCTGTTGCGCCTTCAGCAGCAGGTTGTTTATTCCGGGGAGAGGGACGCCGGGCTTCTACTTCTGCTTTGTGGCCGGAGCCCAGAAGAACTGGTCAAAGGGGACCCTGGGGCCCGTCGTGGTGGCCCTTCGGTGGGTCTTCAGTGGTCCGTGGGCTCTGCTGGGCTGTGTCGGCTACGGCTTCAGTCCTGCTGCAGGGAAGGACCCCAGACTCCCGGACAGACGCCGTCTGTCCCTCCTCCGTTGCCCACCCTGCCCGCTCGGCCCATCGTGCGCTCTGTGCTTTGCAGGAAGGAGGAGACGGTTACTGTCTACCCCGCAGACGTGGTGCTCTTTGAAGGGATCCTGGCCTTCTACTCCCAGGAAGTACGAGACCTGTTCCAGATGAAGCTTTTCGTGGACACGGACGCCGACACCCGGCTCTCCCGCAGAGGTGCGTTCCGGAGCCCCCAGCGGCCCCGTGGGTGGCCCAGCCCAGCCGCGTCCAATCAGCTCCGGGACCGCCCGCTGCCCAAACGTTTGGTGACCTCTGCGAAGGGGTTAGTCACTGTTTTGGATGATGAAAGGCATGTGAGGTCACCGAGGTGAAACTGGAAGTTTACGTTTTGGTTTCCCTGGAAAAAGCGTTTGGTTAAATGCCCAGTTTGCTATGGTTTTTCCCACACGCATCGGCATCCGTGCGGGAACTTAACTCTAGGGTGCCAAGGACGCGGGGGGGGTGCCGAGGACACGGGCGCGGAGGACGTGGGGGGGTTGCCGAGGATGCGGGGGTGCCCGTCAGTGGAAAGGAGACGCCTTGCTCCCACCAGCGGGATTGGGAAGCTTCGTGGAGGGTGTGGTAGAGCGATGAAGTAGACAACTCAAGAAGTCACACACTGCGAGTGTAGACACACGGGGCTCATTCATTCATTTCTAGACACACTAGAAATCACTTGATACAGACTGTGGGGACTGTGGCTTCTGATTTGGTTCCTGGCAGACGAAGGAGAGGTACCCAGGGGCTTTGAGCAGGGGCGGGGAGAGGAGGGTGGGGAGCGTTGGGAGGGGTGAGAAGGTACCAGCAGGGTTAGGAAAGGACAACCCCTGTGGGGGCAGTGGGCGGGGGAGAGGAAGCCTTCGAGTCCCCATCGTGTGGAAGCGGAACAGGACCCAGGAAGTGACGGGGGTGGCTCCCAGTCACAGAGCAAATCCTGGGCACTTTGGAATCTTGCGAGCTCCAACCCAGGGCCTTCTGACCTCAGAGGCTGCGACGTTTTCTCTTCTCGGTTCACAAAAACCACTTCCGAGTTTGTCTCCATCAGTCGTCTCCTGGCAGGAACTGTAAGTGGAACCAGCAGAATCTAGAGAAATGAGTTTGCCCTCCCAAGTAGTAGTGTCTACACTCTACTAAGTGAGTTGTTATACTTCCACTCCCAGGTGGGGTAGGGGAGGGGTGGAACTCCATGATGGATAAAAGGAGATTAGGAGGCCCCTACGCCAGCCCCACAGCCGTCAGCTACCTTTGTGACTTTGGTGGCTCTCGTGACTCCTGTAACCTCCCAGGCTTGGGTTTCTTCATGAGGGAGGCAAGCCCGTTTTTCGGGTCACGCCTCTGACCAGGTAGATAATTTTTAGTAGAGGCCTGAGCCTGACAGTTCATCACGCATCTGCCCCAGGGCCTGGTTTATCATTTCAGTCCCCAAAGCCAGACCTGGCCTTGGTTGATCTACTCGATGTCCCCTGATCAGTCTGCCAGATCAGGGAGGCAGTTAGATGCTCCAGGGGAAGAAACTTGAGCCAGAAAGCTGGACTTCACTCCTGATCTCACCATTTCAGAGACGCGTGACCTCGGGCAGGTTATGTGCTTGCCTCTGTGTCCCTCTTCAATAGGAATCATCCCACTGGTTGATTATGTAAAGCTCAGGCCCCCTGGGTTGCGATGATGAGAGGTAACGTGAGTAAGATGCCACGTGCTGCATTCGTTGAGAACAGTTGGTGAGTTAGGTCAGAAGTCTGCTTGGAGATGGTAGATGTTCTGTTTCCCCGACTTTTCCTTGTCAGGACTAGTCAGAAGCCCTGAGTGGCCACGTTCTCGGGAGCTGGGATGAGGGGCTGATACCATCATTTGGTCAGCACGTGGTAATGAAGTCCCAGGGGCTGAAATTACCTGAGAGGGAGCAGAGCCTGCGAGGCGTGGCGCAGGAGAGGAAGACTAAGTTCTAGGCGTACGGATTCTGTGTCCTTGGACGCCAGACGATATCGGCCTTTAATGCAAACAGATCATCGTGGCGCCAGTGAAAGAAAATTCCCCCTCGCTCTCTTGTACTGGGATCCTTATGGGAAAATGAGGATGGTGGCCTCCTGTGGGGTTTCTCTGATCCCCCGCAGGGAGGCTGTCATTTTACCCCCTCCACCTTCTGTCTTCTTGTGTCACCTGCTGGTGAGTCACTTTCCTGGTGGACTTGCAGGGCCTTTCCGCATACTGTCACTACAGACTCTTTCTCTGTCCACGTAGGACAGAAACCATGCCTGGCATGTGCTTTGGGGGATGGGAGGGTGCGGGGTAAGGGAGAGGGTGGGTTAGTCAGGAGCAGCTGCTGGGCATAAGAACATTCCTGGAGACTTGAGTTGGTGCCGCGGTTTCACCCTTCTGTGTGTCACACTTCCTGGGCCTGTGACCCTGATGACCAAAGTTGAGCTTTCTGTGGGAGGGGAGATCTGCCTTTGGTCCACACAGCCTTGGAAGGACCTCCCTCCGCCCCACGGGAACCCCTCGTACTTTGGGGAATTGGCTTCTTCCAGTTTTCACCTTCCCTCCGTGTGTGTTATTGACTCCAACCCATCCTTGAATCCGGGGACAGGGAAGAACTGAGACGGGACCAAGGTCCGCTGACGCCTACCCTCTCCTGCCATAATTCTCTGTGTCCGGTTCCCACAGCTTTGGGGCTGTGGTGGACCTTGAGACGTGGTCAGCCTTGTTCTGTTGCTAGAGTAACACATCTCCTTGACTAATTTTTCAAGTGAATTGACTTAACCGCCGAGGAATTGTATTTATTCTGGGTCCTTCTGAATTTTGTCCTTGGCTTTGGCTGACCAGAAGGAGCACTTTGGAAAGGCTGCCGTGGGAGCCAAGCAGGAAAGGTGGGTGGACCTGTAGTTCATTTCCTGCTCCTTAGCCCCCTCTTCCGAAAGGGTCTTTCCTGGCCAAGCAAATGTTCTGGGGCCAGAGTGATCATCAGGGAGCTGGTTTGGAGTCCCCGCAGTTTCCGGTTTGTGCCAAGACCTTGTTCTGACTCAGTCCTTGGCTTGGCCCCGAGGAGCAGGGCAGTTCCGAGCAGCGCTGTCCTTGGCTGGGGGCGGGGTCATGGACTGTCTAAGGTGATACCTCAGGGGAAGGTTCTCTGAGAACAGAAGTGGGGGATGCCTTCTGATTTTGCACATTCCCAGTGTCTGGGCAACATCCTAACCCACTTCCTGTTTCCTTTTCCAGGGTAGAAGCTGTAGGCGGCCCCTCTCTGTCTTCCCTGTCGCTGGCTCTCCACTGTGTCTTCCCGCGGGCTAGTGCCCTGCTCTGTCTCCCGCACTGCACCCCCATCGCCGCCTTTCCAGCTGCTGTCAGAGGGGCCTGACCTGCTCACCTGAGCGCACAGGTGCCCCCCTCCCACTGCGCTCCCCGTTGTCTGCTGTGTCAGGGAGCCATCCCTCTCCCGAAGCTCCCCAGATTCTGTTGGCGTCACAGTCCGTGGTAGAAACTCGGGTTTACTGACCGCGTGCAGCGCGCCAGCCACACAGTACCGCTCCCTGTGGTCTTCAGTAATGACTGTGTGAATAGGTCTCCCGTGTACCACCGTCCCTGTTAAGGAAAATGAAATGCAGAAAGGTTGAGTAACTTGTCTAGGGGTCACAGAGGTTAAGAGTCGGGTCAGGATTTAAGTGCAGGTCAGTTTAGCCTGCATTGCTCTAGATGGTGGACCGGGAGGCAGGGGCCGCAGGGGCCATTCAGTGTGACTCTCCTGCTCTGTCTGCTTCCTCCCTGGCCCCTTCCTCACTCCGTGATGCAGCGGCTGAAGCTCTCAGATCTGCAGGTTACGGACTGAGGGCCGTGGGAGCGCTATGGGAGAGCCCGTGTGCCCTTGTGTGTGTGTGTGTGTGCGCGCGCGTGTGCGTGTGCGCGCGCGCGTGCAGGGAGGGGGCAGGACATTGGTTCCCATGCTGCCGAGCCATCAGCACTTGTGTGAACAGCATGTGAAACAAACCCACATCGGGCTCCTGCAGGACTTTTAAGCAGAAGCTGCCCCAGTGCAAGTGTGTGTTTGTTTCTTCCCAGGCCTGATAGCATTTGCTCCGGCTTCTTTTTTCCTTTGTACTTTACTTACCTGGGGACGCGAAAAACTGGAGGCCAGGCCACCTGTGTGTTTTGGTTGGGGGGAGCCCATAGGCCAGCGGGCCTGTGGGGGAGCCCCGGGACAGCTCCTGGGCCTCCTTCTTGGCCAGGTCTCCCTGGCTGAGCTGCTGGGCCCCATGTCAGAATGCCCAAGAACCCCGTTTCCTGGCTGGGGAATCCTGGCAGCCAGGAGGGGCTCTGAGACCGCTCATGATGCCTTAGCGGCCAGCCAACTATCTTGTGACCAGCGTTCATGGGGGCAAATGTCCCTGTAAGTTGTGGAGCTGGTAGAAAAGTCAAGTGGTGGTAGAGGCGTCATCTGACTCTGGAGTGTGGTCTTTGCGGCCGTTTTCTAGCTATCTGAAACCCCAGACTTCATGCCAGCCTGAATCCTAACCACGACCGCCTCCTTCTTTCCTGCCCTTGGCCTGTGTGCGTGCGTGCCTGTGTGTGTGGGTGCACGGAAGCACAGAATTCTCTAGAGGCGTGGCTTTCCAGAAGTTCACCAAGTATTCCCTGGTTTGGTTGCAATGAGTTTCATCCCTTCCTGAGTCTGTAACTTGAGAAATGGTTGAGAGGCATCAAGGGGCCTCTGCAAGTGATTATTGATGGTAGGATACCCCTTGGGGGGTGGGGGGAGATGGAGGCGCTGTGGAGCTGAGATTTAAGACAGCATCTGTAGGGTGGGGCCGTTTTCACTGAGAGAATCTCCTTCCCAGCTCTCACTGCTGAGTTTGGGGGAAGCTGAGGATCAGGGTGGTTAGTGATAGAGCAGAGAGCTAAGATTCCGGTCTCTTAGACGGTCAGACCTTTTTCTGTTGTGTTTTTTTTTTTTTTTATAACTTTTTAATGTTTATTTTTGAGACACAGAAAGAGCACAAGTGAGGGAGAGGCAGAGAGTAAGGGAGACACAGAATCCAAAGCAGGCTCCAGCCTCTGTGCTGACAGCTCAGACGCGGGGCTCGAACTCACAAACCGCGAGATCATGACCTGAGCCAAAGTCGGACACTTAACCGACTGAGCCACCCAGGCGCCCCAGACCTTTTCTGTTTTTTGACAACAGACTCTATTTGTTTGATGAAAGCCCCTGGATAACGCTGCCCAAGAGGGAGAAGGTAGGCGATGATGAGTGTGGGTCCATCCGGGCGGCCACACCATCTCCAAATCCATGGTTTTCTCATTTTTTCACTATTATTTTCTCTTGTCAAACCTCTGTGCTTGGGGTTAGCAGGCATGGCTGACGCAGCAGGACCCTCTGTCTGCCCTCCGTCCCTGTGGGGGCTGAAAGGTCGGCGGGGGGGGGGGGGGGGGGGGGGGGGGGGGGGGGGGGGCAGGCGTGTGAGGTGGTACATCATAGGTCAGTGGCTTGCGCACAGGTAAGTAAGCGCAAGGGGACTTGCATCAAGGTGTGCGTGGGGCTTCTTTGCCTGGGAGCCCCACCACCTCTTGGGGCCCCATTTACTGTCTGTTACGAGCACTGGAGGACTGTCCTGCTTTTTATGTTGTTCACACTGCAATTTTATTTGGGTCCAATGCTGCCTGAAACACGAAGACTGTTGGCTTAGGCTGGACGGCCTTTGGTCATAGCCACATTTGACTATAGCAATAAAAATGTAACTTGTTTTTCTCGAAGCTGCTGCTGATCTGCTCTTGGTCAAGTGTCTCAGGAATCCGGCTTGTGAATCATCCAGATCAATTGTGGAGTCCATGTCAGCCGGGGCTGCCTCCTGAAGGGCGGACACGTGTTGGCTCATGCACCATTTTCTTGATTCTTGTTTTTCCTTTTCTTATAGTATTAAGGGACATCAGCGAAAGAGGGAGGGACCTTGAGCAGATTTTATCTCAGTACATTACGTTCGTCAAGCCTGCCTTTGAGGAATTCTGCTTGCCAGTGAGTTGTGTTCTTGGTTTGTTTTTTTGTTGAATGTAGAATGTAAAACCTAATCGTACCGGTAAAGCTATGTAAGGTGATGGAGCCCCCAGCCTGAATTCCATTTCTCTCTCCTCTATCCTGAAGTCCCAAGCAAGGGCAGCCTTTGGGGCTCTGGGTGCTACCACTGTGTTTCCCAGGAGCTGTAGGCCGCCATCTTTGTCAGAGTGGTCCTTCAGGGTCCTGCTGTTTGACTCTAGCAAGCTCTGCTCTCCTTGCTTGGTGGGCTCAAGGCGTGAGGGTGCATCATGTCTCTGCACAGACTGGGCCATTTGAATCTTCAAAAGGCCTATGATGGTCGCAGTATTGGTGCAGGGAGGGCTCAGCTGCAAGATACTTCCTTCTGAATCTTTTCTGCCATGGCGTTGAGCCCCTGCTTTGACCTTTTCTTTGGCCCCTGTGTAAGTTTCCACATGGGACGTGTCCCACCATGCCGAAATAAGCTTCCATACTTGTGCGCTGGTACAGATTCCTCTTTCCTCCTGTGGGAACTCTCTGGTAAGATGGCTTTCAGAGAAGGAAGGTTGAAGATATGGGGGATTTTCAGCTTTTGGTGAATCAGCCCTCAGCCCAGGAAATGACTTCAGCCTCCTGAGGACATTCAGGTGAATGTTGAGAGACAACCAGGGACAAGAGGTGTGGAGTGGTGAGGGGGAGGTAGTGGTAGAGGAAAATGCAGGAGATGACGTCATTTGAGAAGGCGAAATGTTTAGTTTAACTCCCGAGGCCCCTGCACCTGTATCCTGTGTCTTCTCCAGGTCGGCCTGCCTAGGGTCTAACTCCCTAATGATTTATCATTAAGCTGTAGGACAGAGGAGGGAGATGTTGGGACTTAGCCTGATCTTGGGGGTGATCTCTTTTGAGAGAATGGAATCTGAGGGCATTGAGAAGAGGTGTAGAGTGAGGCCGAGTATGGGAATTTCTCTGTTTCTCCTAGTAATTAACATCTTTCATTCTCCTGGAAAAAATACGACCTCCAACTATCTGTTCCTTTAAGTCTGTTAGTGGGGTTTTGCATCAAAGCAGACAAGACTTTTTGTTTCGGGGACAGGTGGACTTTCTGAGTCAGCCTGAGTAACGCTGATGCCCTATTCATTTCCCTGGAGAGGACTGGGTCCCAGGATTAGGTTTCTGGGTGGAGGGCAGAGGGGCCTGAGAAGCCAGGAAATTCTATCCATCCGTCTATCTGTCTGAGGACCTCTGCTCCTTTTAACTTAATAATAATAACAACATATGGTAAACATGCAATTGGACATAAATTAGAGTTAACTGCCAATTTTCTGCTGTTTAACTTAGTTGTAATGGAGCTTAAAATCCTGCACATTTTCTGGGTGGTTTCTACTAAAAAGTTTCTACTAAAAACCAGCCACTCTGTGCTCAGGGAAGATCAAGTCATTCCCACGTAAGCCAGGAGCTTGGATCTGATAAATTGCCTCCTGCAGGTTGGGTTTGGGCCGGACACACTTTCATTTGAACAGTTTCTGTGTAGAAGTTGCCCAGAGTAAAGAGGCCCACCATCTGATGCCCACCATAAGGTCCTGTGGTCTTACCCTAAACTTGGGTCATACACTAGTTCACAGTTATTTGTAAATTTGGTCCACAGAATCTCAGGAAATTAAAAGACAAAAAGGGAATGCATCTAATTGTGGCTTTACTGCCCCCCCCCACCCCACCCCTAAGTGTGATAACAGAGCCAATGAAAGTGGTCATCAGTGGGGGTTGTTTTTCCTGGGTTTGCCCTTGTGTTAGGGTTCACCTCTCACACTGTGTCCCCACGTCCAAGGTGAACTCCTTCTGTTTGCAATTTGGGTTTTTCTAATTCATATTTTTCTTAGTAGGGAGAAGACAGTTATTGAGTTTGGTCTCAAAAGACCATGTTCTCTGTGTAGGTCATGAGCTTAAATCGTATTAAATAATAATGAGAAATGAAGAAAAAGCTGATATATTGACGTTTAGAGAAAGGGGATAGAAAACATGCCACCCTGTGGGGTCAGTAGCAGGAAGGCTAAGCCTCTCCCCGTGGCCTTATACCGACAGGGGCTTGGGCTGGTCTCTGGGTCTCCTTTTTAATGCACTGTGACTATCCTTCTCCACAGACAAAGAAATATGCCGATGTGATCATTCCTAGGGGTGCAGATAATCTAGGTGAGTCCTGCTCGAGGGTCGTAGGGCATAACTTCTATCCTACGTCGGTCAGACTTTGGGACGGGATGTGGGGACCACATAAGGCTCTATGGACAGGGCTGAGCCACTGGGCTGCTATGGGAGCCAGAAAGGAATTTCTGTCTACATGCCTGGCCTTGGAAACAGGCCCCTGTGCTTGCATGCATGTGTGTGTGCGCACACACGCGGCGACAAATGGGAACTCGTGCTTCTCTGGTAGAAGCCAGAGGGCTGGAGACTGTCCCCTGCTGTCACTCCCAGCGATGACAGCCTTCAGCACAAACACAGTCCTTTAATTTAATTTAGAATGATCTGCCATCCAGGTAGTGTTTGTTGGTTTTGGCTGGTCTAAGAAGTAGGCGCACCTCTAGACTGAGGCAGGCTGGGGCAGTCGATCTGTGAGAAGACTCTGCCTTCTCATTCTCTTTTTAATTAATTTCAATCCCTCCCTCCCCTCCCTTCCCCCCCACTAAAAAGTTTTTTTTTTCCCTGGAATCATTTGGGAGTCCATCACAGTGATGACTTTTTCACAGTGTATTTCTTTCTTTTTATTTTTTATATTTTATTTATTTGTTTGTTTTTGAGAGAGAGAGAGACAGTGTGAACAGGGGAGGGTCAGAGAGAGAGGAGGATACAGAGTCCGAAACAGGCTCCTGGCTCTCAGCTGTCAGCACAGAGCCCGACACGGGGCTTGAGCCCACGAACCGTGAGATCATGACCTGAGCGAAGTTGGACGCTTAATTGACTGAACCACCCAGGCGCCCCACTTTCTTTTCATTTTTTAAAAATTTTTAAATAAAATTTATTGTCAAGTTAGGTAACCTACAGTGTATATAGTGTGTATATACACTCTTGGCGTTGGGGGTAGATTCCTGTGTTTCATTGCTTACATATAACACCCAGTGCTCATCCCAACAAGTGCTCTCCTCAGTGCCCATTACCCATTTTCCTTACCACCTGCCCTCCCCTCCTTCCCCAGTCAACCCTCAGTTTGTTCTCTGTAATTTAAGAGTCTCTTATGATTTGTCTCTCTCTCTGTTTGAAACTGTTTTACCCCTTCCCTTCCCCCATGGTCTTCTATTAATTTTTCAAGTTCCACATTTAAATTAAAAAAAAATTTTTTAAATGTTTATTTATTTTTGAGAGAGACTGACAGAATGCAAGTGGGGGAGGGACAGAGAGAGAGAGGGAGACACAGAGTCCGAAGCAGGCTCCAGGCTCTGAGCTGTCAGCACAGAGCCTGACGGGGGGCTTGAATTCACAAACTGCCAGCTCATGACCTGAGCTGAAGTTGGACACTTAACCGACAGAGCCACCCAGGTGCCCCATCACCGTGTATTTCTTAAAGAGGGGGGCATTTTCATTCATAACCGCAGAACAGCCATTCTGGAAAGTGAACGTGGGCACAATCTCTTTTGACAGTTCTGAGGAGAAAGGCCCTGTGGTTTTGTAGAACGCCCTCAGTTTGGGTTTGTTTCCTCATGATTGCGTTCATGTTACACCACCTGGAGAAAACCCCAGGAGATATGTCCTGTCCATTGCGCATCGTCTCGGAAAGCGCTGGATGCTTATTCCATTTTGGGTGACGCTCACACATCAATCACTTGCTTGAGAAGTAGAATCTATTTCTAAAGCTAAGAGAAGAGAGTCCCATGTGGCATTTCCTCTGGAGGAGAGGGCCTTCTGCGGGGTCAGCCTCCTTGGGAGGGGGAGCTGGTGGGTCCGCTCGTAGAAGGGATGTCCCCTCTCTGCCCTGCATCCCTAACACTGCCGCCCTCTGCCCCACAGTGGCCATCAACCTCATCGTGCAGCACATTCAGGACATCCTGAACGGAGGGCTCTCCAAACGACAGACCAATGGCTATCTCAACGGCTACATCCCGTCACGCAAGAGGCAGCCCTCGGAGTCCAGCAGCCGGCCGCACTGACCCCTGCCTCCCCCTGGCCCGGCCCCTATCTTGAAGAGACAGGAGGAGGGATCAGGAGGCACTGTTCATCTGTACACGTGGCTTCCTATGACATTGCTGTATTTAAGAAAACACCATGGAGATGACATGCCTTTGGTTTTTCTTTTCCCGTTTTCGTTTCTTTTCGTGCTTCGGAGCGGCGCAATGAAACCGAATTTGACCCTGAGCTTAAATGATAAACTGTGCCAACTACTACTGGTGATGCCTAATTATGAATCCAACGTGTAACCAGTTATAAATACATATATATATATATATATATAAAAGGATCTATTTTTGTGTAAATGTACAAACACTGTAAAGCTGTTAGCTGTAAGTATTCTGCACGAGGACCTGTACTTGAGTGGCCGGGGCTCGAGTTGGGGGCTCGCCCAGGGGAGATGGCCGTCCCACCCCGCTGTGATGGGTCCAGGCAGGGGGTGTGGGAGGCGGGCCATGGAGAAGCCAGGCTCTGTCTCGTGTCTCGCCGCTCTGAGTGCCTGTGCAACTCGCTGGCAGTGGAGCTTGGAGCCTTGGGACGGCCTCCCCTGCCCAGGGCTACCTTCTTGGAGCTGGAGCTCCGTGATGTGTCAACACAAGATACCCTTTTCTTCTTTCTTTTTTCTTTCTTTCTTTTTGTTTTGAGTCGAAATTAGGCAAGACCTCAGCTCAAAAATCAAACTCAGGGAAGAGGCCCACCGAAGAGAAACAAGTCTTCTGTGTTTTCTTCTTGCCCGATGCCCCACCTCTGGCCGCCTGAGGAGCTCAGTGACTCCCTCCTTACCCACTCAGGCCCTCTGAAAGCCAGTGCTGCCTGTCTCTCCTTCCCTGGCAGGGATCTGAGGGGATCAGGTCCTGGTAAACCGGCGGGTGGGGGGTGGGGGAGGAGAGAGTAGCCAGGTTCCTGTTGTAGCATCTGAGGAAATACTGGTTCCTCCTGCCTCCCGGGGAAGTTTCCAGTCAGATTCCCTGGGCCTTTCCCCAGATTGTAGAGCACAGGTGGTCTCTTGAGTCTGGGCTTCGGGCAAGGGCTTCTGGCGCCCTCACGGGGTGGTGAGAGCCCTGCAGGGATTGTTCACAGAGATGCAGGGCTTGGCCGCGGGGTGAGGACAGCAGGTACCTTCCAGCAGGAATTGTCGCTAGCGGCACCACAGCCGAGCTGATCGCCATCTTTACGGGGTAGACAGTTCCGCCTTTCCTGAGGGCTCCTCTCTGGGAGGAGTACAGATCCCTGATGATTCTTGCTGGAGGGGGCGCGGGCAGGAAGTGGGGGGACCGAGTGAGACCGAGACCGAGGAGCGCAGAGTCCTAAAGCCTCAGCTGGACGAGCCAGAGGCCTTCATTTCTTCCTCAAGCATCTCAGTGCTTGGCAGGCCATGGCCGCAGCTACTCTACTGTGGCCGTGATGGCCCAGAACGTTCTGGGGAACCTTCACCCTCCATTTGCTCTCCTAGCCCATTGGAGCCGTTCAGTTAAACATGACACAACTACTCTCCAGTCACACCAAATTGCCCCTTAGATACAAACCGCCATCCTGTTTGATTCCCCCTTTCTGGACTCCATTTGACTCTGTGTTTTGCTGTTTCAAAAAAAAGTCAGAGCTCACCCCCAGCAGAGCTTCGCCACCCCTGCGTCACCCAGGAGACTGCGGCAGGCTCCGCAGGGAGCAAGGGAAGTCTCCCCGAGGCGCCTGCGTGTAAGGCCCGCTCTGGAGTGTCTCGGAATCCGTATTCTCTTTCTCATCATGCCTTGGACAGTTTTGAGATGAAGCGTGGGTGGCAGGCCTGGGTTAGGATCCTGAGGACCCAAGGCCCCGTGCCTTGATGGGGCCTCTCTGTGCTCAGGGGCAGCCCACCCCTGTATGGGGAGCCTTGGTCTTCCGGTGGGTAGCACATTCAACTTTACTTGAAGCTCCCAGGTGCCAAACCATTTAGTGCCTTGGCTGTCTGTCCCACTGCCTTGGAAGATGGATTCTTCTCATCTCTGAGCCTTGACTTTCTTAGCTGCTTCCTCATCCACCTGTGGTGTTGGGACCAAGCTCCAGTGTCTCTGCTGGTTAACAGCGCTAGGGCTGCCTTGCCTCCTGGTAAAACCGTCACCAGTTCTTGGTGGCTTGGCTGGGGGCACCGGGCCGTGCTCACTGGGCATCTCTGATGCCTCCCTTGGTTCTGAGATGCACTGTGTCTGGGGCGAGGAAGGCAGGACTCTGTGTGGTCACCCCCAGCATTCAGTCAACTGAGTATCTGAGCTTGACCTTCTATCTGACTGATCCTGGACTTGGTGTTTTCAGAGCCCTTAGATTTCCCGATTCCACTGGCGAGTCAGGGGAAGGATCGTTAGGCCAGAGACCGGGACCCCGAGTCCTGGGGGTCTTGTGTGCAGCCCAGGAGGAGGGACCGACAAGTGGAGTGAGAATGATGCTGGTCGTGTGTGCACGGGAGTCCTGTGGCTTCAGAGCTGCCCAATGGTGCTTGCTTCTTGCCCCCACTCCCGCCCAGGTATTATCCATAGACCAAGTGTTTAGGGAGCCACCATCCAAGTTTCATGTCATGGGAAGGCCTGACCCCATTCTCTTTCACGCTAATAGAACTTGTGCCCACCTGGGTTTCTTTTTCTTGGGCAGCCGGAGGCCAGTGGGGACAGAGGTTGGAGTCTAAGGACCATGCAAATGTTTGGACCTCAGGTGTCCTTTGGAGTGTCTAGGGTAGGTCGTCGACGAGGCAGACCCCAGAACGGGCCAGGGGGAGGGCGGCAGGGAAAGGTCTCCCGTTCACCCTTCAGAACCAATCATTCCCGCAACAGCTCGCTCCTGTCTGGGCCGCGGATGCTGCCGTCCCACCCCTCCTGGGCTCAGCACTGGCTCAGTGTCCCACGGCGGGTTCCCAGTCTCTCGTTAGGCCACTATGTCAGCTGAAGTCTTGCGTGCTTCCCTGAGCAGGTGGGAAGCCGCAGGGACCGGAGCCCAGTTGGTGTGTGTATATCCCCTCCTTTGGGGACGAGGTGCGGCTTCCTTGATCTAGCGCCCCTGACCTGTGTGCTGGCACCGAAGGCCCCCGGAGGGAAGTAGTTGCCTCTTGCAGGGAAATATTTCTGCTCCGGAGTCTCCCGCCTGCCTGCCAGCAACCCAGCACCAAGGCACTAGCCTAGGGCAGGTTCCGGATTGCAGGGCTGCCCGTCCCCATCTCAGGCTGGGCGGTTGGGGAAACAAGGCAGTAAAACAAGGGAGAGAACATGGGGTGGGGGGAGGCCTGGAGTCGGTCTGGAGCTCAGAGTCCTCTCTAATCCTTTGTCTCTGGGCCCCGTGCTGCCCTCCTGGGCCAGGTGAGTGGCCGTCAGATCAGCTTCATTGCTGTAGTTAGAGGTTGTGAGTGCCTAGCTGGTCCTGCCTCAGGAGCAGGGTGAGTAGTTACATAAGGACGTAGGCGTTTTGTGTTTGTTTTGTTTTGTTTTTCTTTGTTTTCTTTCAGATGCTTGCTCTTCCTCCTTTTCCTTCTGCCACCCTGCCTTTATTGTTAGTAGTTAACAAAAATGACCGCATACTATGTACTTTGCTATAAATAAAGACTGAACAGAAAAAGAGCCCATTCTTGTCTCCTTTGTGAGGTTGGGGCAGGAGGAGCCGTGGCTGAGTATGTGCACGCAGCCTGCTGTCACTATGTCCCTAAGCCGCTCAGGCTCAGGCAGTCCTGGGCCGGACCCTAGACCGCGGCTGGCCCGGAATCCTTCGAGAGAGCAGGCACGTGCGCATCTCTCCTCATCCCTGTCTCTGTCCCCAAGAGCTAGGCCTAAGCTTTCCGGGAGGCTTCTGATGTTCTGGGATGTTCTGGTTCTGCGCATCCCAGTTAATGCAGCCCCTCCCTCGCTGTCTGCCCTGGGCCATTCACCACCCTGTCCTCCACACCCACTTTGAAACACCCAAACAACCTTCCAAAAGGATAACGCTTGACGGGTGTGGTGGTGGAGGAAGTTTGCATCGTAACAATGTGAATAACTTGCCAGGTGTATGTGTGTGTGAGTTCTCTGTGTGATACAGCTACTGATACATATTAATCAATGCAGATACAGTAAAACCTTGTTCTGGGAGTGTTGCGCGAGGGAGCAGCAAATATTTCTTTTATTTTTTATTTATTTATTTATTTATTTTTTTAATGTTTTATTTATTTCTAGGAGAGAGAGAGAGACAGCGTGAGCAGGGGGAGGGTCAGAGAGAGAGGGAGACACAGACTCTGAAACGGGCTCCAGGCTCTGAGCTGGCAGTCAGCACAGAGCCCGACACGGGGCTCGAACCCACGAACCGTGAGATCATGACCTAAGCAAAAGTCGGACGCTCAACCGACTAAGCCACCCAGGCGCCCCGCAAATATTTCTTTTAAATTTTTTTTTAAAATTTATTTCTAGGAGAGAGAGACAGCGTGAGCAGGGGAGGGTCAGAGAGAGAGGGAGTCACAGACTGAAACAGGCTCCAGGCTCTGAGCTGGCAGCCAGTACAGAGCCCGATGCGGGGCTCGAACCCACGAACCGCGAGATCATGACCTAAGCGAAAGTCCGACGCTCAACCGACTGTGCCACCCAGGCGCCCCTATTTCTAATAAATTTTAACTTCATGAACAAGGGACATCTTGCGATACAAGTAGTATGAGTGTCACATGATCACAACTGAGCCAACGGTTCTTGAAATCCGCTTGGATATACGAGTGCTTTGGATGACAAGCATATTTCTGGGACGAGTCACGCTCACAAGTCAAGGTCTCCCTGGTTTTAAAAGACTAGGTCACCCACCACCAAAGACTGTAAAATAATTGGCCTTTGCTCTCTTCTTTGCTCCCTGCCCCCCACCACCTCTGTGCCCTCTAGGGTTCCATCCCTTCACCCCTGCCTCCCAGGCACTGAATCACCCTCATTAACGTGCTGTGAAATTAATAAAGGGACACATGGGCTACAATGGAGTCAGGAGGTCTGGCCAGGGGTGGCACCCCACCGCCTTACCACTTGTCAATTGCAAACCCAACAGGAAGAGAGGAGATCAATTGCAAACCCAACCTTGCACGGAAATCCTATTTGACTCTCCCCAGTAGAGGAGAAAAGGCTTATCCTCTCCCGCCAGCAACAGCCCAGCCAATGGGAGGCCACATCCTTCCCACCCCAGTTTGCTCCAATGGACTTGCTTGTAACAGCCTTCCCAACTTCCCCTTTCTTCTATAAAAACCGTACCTCTCTGTTCTGAGGACTTGCCTGTGGTCTTGCTCTAGGTAGCTTATCCTGCCTTGACGGTCTCTGCTATTCCGAAACAAATCCATCTTTTGCTGGTAAAATAACTGGCACTTTTATTTTTTATTAAAAAAACATTTTTTTCAGTTTATATTTGAAAGAGACAGTGTGAATGGGGGAAGAGCAGAGAGGAAGGGAGACAGAATCTGAAGCAGACTCCAGGCTCTGAGCTGTCAGTACAGAGCCTGACTCAGGGCTCGAACCCACCAATCGTGACCTGAGCCGAAGTAGGACACTCAACTGAACCGAGCCACCCAGGCGCCCCAAGACCACTGTGCTTTTAAATAACACCTAGGTGCATTTACAAGAGCTGGTATTATCAAGCATGACCGTCATCTTCAGGCAAGTGAAGACATGATGGGTCGTGGAGCTAGTGCCTTGCCTGTTGTCACACAGGTAATGTTGTACAAGCCGGTTTAGCTGTGTTTCCCCTCTGGGGCCAGCCAGTGAAGCCCTTAGCAAATTTGCATTGTCTCTCCATCTTCTGTCACAACACCCTCTGAGCCAAGAGCCAATGCTTTGACTAGTGCTGCTTTAGTTAAACCCTTCATGGGCTCAGATGAAAATAAACCTGTTAGGACCTGCTTAAAGGATCCTAGGAGTGGGGAGGGGCAAAGAAGGGGACCTGGGGGTGAGAAGATTCTCTTTTGAGATGGATTTCAATCAACTTCTGATGGTAGAAGATGTTAAGATTTCTTTCTTTAAGATTTCTTTTTTTTTTAAAGTTCATTTTCAGAGGGAGTGCAAGTGGGGAGGGCCAGAGAGGAGAGAGAGAATCCCAAGTAGGCTCCACACTGTCAGCACAGAGCTCTACACAGGGGGGTGGGAGGGGCTCGAACCCAGGAACCGGGAGATCATGACCTGAGGTGAAACGCAAGAGTCAGATGCTTAACTAACTGAGCCACCCAGGAGCCCCTTTAATAAGATTTCTATTTTTGAAGCTGAGTTTAAACAGAACAATTTCCAAAACCTAGAATGAACTTAACCCACTTGTTGAATCTTGGGCTATTCCTGTATATATACTTAACATTTTCTTTCAATAAACTACGAACCTAAATAACAGAGCCAGATGAATCAGCTTAAGTTAAGAGTAAACCTAGACATATGTTCTTAGTTAAATGACTGGAGGTGAGGGGCAGGAGAACATGAAGCCGCCTCGCACAAACTTCTTACCCTGCAGTCTTAACACCCTCTTACATCAAGGTTTGTTTGGGCTAGATCAGGGGTTCCTCTGACTTGTTACAGAATGACATGGCTTGGGGTTCAATGACTATGTTGAGTCCTGGCTGCCTCCGGGGGGCCAGGGAAAGCCAGTGTGGTCTCTGCCTACAAAGCCAATGTGTCTTCGTGGGTTTGATGCTGAAAAGTCCAGGATTCTCTCATGTAAGGTAGTAACACCTGTGGATGTTTCAAGATTCCTCATCAGCGCCCTGTACTTTCTTTCCAGTACCTGAAATTTCCGACTTCCATGGCCATACTCACTTCGGACTTGCCCAGCCTTCAGGACACGTTCACTTTGCTTTAGCAGCCCTGCAAGGTATGTAAGGAATGTGGTCCTGGAGGGAATGGATGTAACCCAAAGCGGCTGGGCTGGAGGAACCCGGCTCGGTCTGGCTGTCTGGTGCGTGTCTGCCATCTAGTGGTGGGATGCAGATCGCAACGGGAGGGAGAGCCTGGAGTGGCTGAGCTAAAGTCCTTACCTTGGCGTCCCTGGTTCTTTTTTTTTTTTAATTTTTTTTTTTTTTATTTGTAGGAGAGAGAGAGAGAGCGTGAGCCGGGGAGGGGCAGAGAGAGAGGGAGTCACAGACTGAAACAGGCTCCAGGCTCTGAGCTGGCAGTCAGCACAGAGCCCGACGCGGGGCTCGAACCCACGAACCGCGAGATCATGACCTAAGCGAAAGTCGGACGCTTAACCGACTAAGCCACCCAGGCGCCCCTGGCGTCCCTGGTTCTAAGAGGTGTGTCAGAGGGTCCCCGGAAGTCTGACTGCTGAAGTCAGTTCGCTTTTGTTTCTCCCTGGAATGTCTTTGCGAGAGCCTTCCTTTGGGCCGATCGGAGCTGCCCCCTTTGCTCTGTTGCTGAAGTCTGGTGCATGTCACAGTCAATGGGGGCTTGTTGACAAGATCACTGCGGTCCATTGCTGAGAATTCTGATTCTGTGGGTCTAGGTCGGAAATCCTTTAAAACACACCGCGCAGGTGAATCAGGCGCACAGGCAGGGATGGCGACCAAGGGGCTCGTGTATTTAATCACACAGACCGTTCAGATTCGCGGTGTTCATCCTATTGGGGTGCCTGCTCGTTTCTTCCAGAAATGTCGTCTGTGCCGTTTAAGGCTCTTCTCTGCCCGAGTGGGGTCTGGAGACAAGGCTTGAGTCTGCTCTTAAGCCCATTCAAGTCCAGCACCGCCCTCTTAGGTTGCAAGGCCCCACCTCTGCCCCAGGAGATGCTAAGCTATGGCCGCCCTGGGGACGTTCTTTAGCGCACATTTTTAGGAGTCATCATCAAGCAGGTTTTAGTCACAGCACCCTTCGTGACACCTTACCTGAAGTCTCAGCAGAGAAAAAACATGTGGTTAAAGTTGGCAAAGGGGGCACCTCGAGAATCATGCAGCCTCTCCCTTGAGGATTCTGAGTTTTCTTTGAGAGCAGGAATCCAAGCCCCTCACTTTACAGATGGGGAGACAGGGCCCAGAGGCAGAGTGACTGGGTCCAGACCCTACCAACGCAGGCTCTAGGTCCGCAGGGGACTTGATTAGGGCTTTAAAAAAGAGAATTCCCTCTTCCTGGGTGTCATCTTGGAAGCGTCTCCAGGGGCAGGCATTGTTGGCAAAAGTTGGGGTGGATCTCTGCCCTTGGATTGATTCCTTTTGGCAGGAAGAATGATCTAAGTAATGCTCAGTTGGTTTGCTGAAGGCAGAAGAAAACAGAATAGAATGCCTTTTATTTATTAGTATTATTTTTTTAATTCTTAAATTTGTTTTAATGTTTATTCAGTTTTGAGAGAGAGAGCACAATCAGGGGAAGGGCAAAGAGAGAGAGGGAGATGCAGAATCTGAAGCAGGCTCCAGGCTCTGAGCTGTCAGCACAGAGCCTGATGTGGGGCTTGAACTCACAAACCACGAGATCATGATCTGAGCCTAAGTCAGATGCTTAACCAACTGAGCCGCCTGGGCATCCCTTGAATACTTTTTAAAAATGAGGTGTAGTTAGTTGGTGTCAACGGAGATTTGTGACAGGGGTTCCACCTCTGCTTAATGATTTCCGTATTGTCTACCTTCTGGTGAAGAGACGGCCTCTTAGAGTAAACAACT